AATGTGACGGTCCATCCCACTATTCGTTGGTAAAAGAGTAGCCCAAGAGTTGGTGGTGGGTGGTGATGACTAGCTGCCTTCCCTCTAGTCTTACACTACTAAATTAAAGACGGCTAGTGCAGATAGCCCTCGTTTAGCTTTGCGCGAAATTCAAAACAAACAATCGTTGTGGATTTCTTTCAATTCCACCTAGACATTTCTTTGATAAATTAACCAATCAATAAATGGCAATAGTTTAACAACACGAGTAAGTCATTGAGGTTGTCTGACATTAAAGCCGGGTTAGCATGCCGTACTGTTGTTCCAATAGTTCATAGTTTACGTTCCGTTGCAACAACAAAAAATCGCGCTCCATACTTTGGGGCTTTGGGAGAGTTATAAGAATGACAGTCAAATCCCATTGTAGTCTAGGAGTTTGCTGCTGTCCCCATAATCTATTAGTTCAAAATTAGGGACTGTTAGCTCAGGTGGTCCTTATGTAACTTTGCGCGAATGTGCAAAACAAACGAAGTTTAATTCTTGAGAAAACATTAAAATACCATTTCATATATATGTATGCGATAAATTTGAGGTAAAAAAGTAAAGACCTATGAAGTCTTCAATTTGCTTGGATTTTACTAAGCAAAAGCTATTGCCATCTGTCGGTTAAAATTACTATAACACGATATTTTTTATTCTGAATAACTCGAAGTTTTAAAACAGTACTAGTAAAAACTAAATTAAGTTCCGAATTACATTTAATTGCAGAGACAGCTAAACACAATGAATCTAAGTTTCAAATGGACAACAACTGCCAGTTGTAGAAACCTACAAATGTAAAAGACGACGTTTCGAAAGTCTTCCGCCTTTCGTCTTCAGGTCCTCTACATTTGTAAGTTTCTATAATAGGCAGTTGTTGTCCATTTGCAACTTAGATTCATTATGAATACTCTGCTTAAACAACCTATCAAAGATTAACTAAACACAGTAGTTATAAAAATATGATAACATAAGAAATAAAAACAGTACCTGGATGAGTTCATTAGATTAGAGCCGACGAAGGAGGAAAGCAGAACGAATAATTCAAGTACAAGTGTAAGCCAAAAAGAGATTCAGAATTACGTAGGGATCTCACGCTCCTTTGGTGACGAAAAGGCTTTCATGGTGGTTTTTCAGTTGATCCAGCAGATGGCGTGTTAAAATAATACAGTGAAGGAAGACTGCTGTGAAGGTGAGTATGACGTGATGATATGATATTTCTCCATTACTGAAGCCACAGAAAAATAGCTGAGAATAAAATAATTTATGTAGAATATCGTGATTAATGTTCATACTGACAATTAATTAATTATATTTTTCAAATGCTCCACATTGCCATATTCTATGATAAAATAATATAAAACTGACAGGTTTAATTAATTTTGGTTAATAAACAGAAAAATTAAAAAATAAGCTAATTAGTCATATAATCTTATTGTAATGTTTAATTTCATATTTGATAAGGAAACAATGAAACCTAATTCAGTTAATAATTAAAACCAATATAGACTAAGTGGATTCTGAGAAGGAAATACTGCAGTTAAGTCAATGTGATTATAACACACAATATAAACTCAGGGAACTGGGAAAAAATGTTTAGTTTTATTAAACATGGCAAATAATGAAACTAAATATTTATACATATATAAACGTGAGCTATTTGTCCACCTATTTTATTACGTAAATCTATTCAACATCAGGATACTTTTATTTATAAATATCAATTTCATTATATATACATATGAATGTGTAATTTCTCAGTTGTGAAACAGAGGGCACTGTAACAAATATTGATTATCTCAGTTATATGATTTTTCCATTTAGAACGAACAGTAACCCTTGTTTGTGAAAATTAAATTATTTTTTCTGGAAGTCATGTTATTTAATCTAACATCAGAAATTATCGTGTGTGAAAAAACCGCAACAAATTATGTTTGACTTCATGAAGAACTTGAAGCATCCGTGAGACTGCCTTTCCATATTTACAGTTCGTCACACATCACCTCTACCTGTAATAGATTAAGACTAATCTTCCACATAGCAAATTAAGGCTAATCTTCCAACTGAATGTTGCAGTTCTGAGACTTCAGAGAAAACATGTACAACGTTTAGCATATTTATAGTTTGGAAATAAAGAATACTTACCATGAAAGCCAGAGATCCCTGTCGCTTTGAAGATGGAAATGGCAGCTTAAGAACTAACTATCTTGATAATCCTGTGGCAAAAAAAAAGAGTAGCTTTTTTCTACAAGATCTAAACGGTGATAAAATAAAACGTAGCTAATGTTTTTACTCATAAATTCACATATTAGAATAGTAATTTCCTATCTAAACTCTAAAACAAAAAGTGTGTTTACATAATATTGTGCTACAATATCAGATTTAGTTCATTTTGATTTATAAACATTACAAGAAAATGTTGAGTTTTAACATGACACATTTCAAGAGATTAAAAACAAACAAGAGAGTCAGTCATCTAAAGATTAATTCTACATAATACAAAACATAAAGCCGTTTTACAACATAAGCACAATGAAAATACTAATATATTGAAGGAAAATGTTTGCTTTTTTCTAGTTTATTTTTCTCGTGAAAACAGATAATCCACGTGATGCACAGAACAGTTCTTTCAAGGCCTTTAAACCAGGTTGAAAAAATTGGCCATGTTTAATCAAAACACCTGCATTACTATTCAAGCTACTAAAAGACACACACACATATGTATATATATACAGTCTTGACCAAAATGTTTGCATACTGTTCTATATTGATGTTATTGTCTACATGCATGGAGTAGTTATTGAGTAAATGGCCGAGTAGTAACAGAGAAGGTGGCGTATGATCGGACAAATATGTACGAGTTGTTATTCTGGTCTGTATAAGTTGTTTTGAGCATTTGTTCGTCAAAACACACATACACATCTGTTTTGTATAAAAGGGTGTGCTTTTGGTATAATCTTTTTCGAAACAGACAATTTCCTTATAATTGGAGTACAGTCAAGCCTCGTCACGTGCCAGAAGTTATAGAGCGCCAAATTGTTCGACTGTCCAGAAATGGTATGAAGCAAACGGATATTGCCAGAATAGTAAGGTATTCCCCTGTGTACTGTATCCAGAATCCTGAAACGTCATTGGACTACAGGAAACGTTGTTCCAGGAAAATCTACTGGTAGATGCCGAAAAACTACTGCCCGAGATGACAGTGTTTTGATCAGTTTAATACACCAAGGTTGAAAGAAGTCTTGCATCATCTTACGACATGAATGGCATGAACACATTCTATCTAGGGTATCAATAAGGACAGTGAATATGAGATTAATCAAGCAAGTTTATTTTGCAAAAAGAGCTACCTGCAAATCGATATTAACCAGAATTCAACGCCGTCACCGTGTTACTTGGGCAAGACAGCATGCCAACTTACAGTTAGGACAATAGTGACATGTTATCTTTTCAGATGAGTCCTGTTTCCAGTTTGTTAAAGCTGATGGTAGGATTCGTTTTCGTCGTTTGCCTGGAAGACAGATGAGGGAAGACTGTCTTTCTCACAAGGAACACACAAGAAGTGGTGCAGTACATGTTTGGGCAGCTATTTATCATGGTGGAAGACTATTCTTCATATCCTTCATAGAAAAAGTCAATGGCGCCTTCTATAGCATCACATGGATACGATATTTTTGTCACATGCTAGGGCAAGGTTTGGCCATAACTGTGTGTTCCAGGATGACAATGCCACTGCCCACAGTGTGCGTGTTATATAAGATTATCTTGACCAGGAGGATGTTACAAGACTGCCATAGCTAGCAAAGTCTCCATATTGTAATCCCATTGAAAACTGTTGGGTAGAACTGAGCCGGAAAATTGCTAACCACGACCTTAAACCAGCTACAGTAGCTGAGTAGTGACAAGGTTTTGTTATGATAGTTGAAATGCTGAATTGTTTGCTATTTTAATAAAACGTTCATGATGTCCACAGAACCTGTCTCATTATACAAATTACATACGTAGATGTTTAATATAACATGCATTTCTAAGTTTAAGAGCGCTAAGTTTATTTGTATTCCATCTTAATAATAATGATCTTACTTGTTATAAAATATGCAAACATTCTGGCCAAGACTGTACATTTTCGGTGTTCTTGCTACAATTTTATATCAGACCGTATGATAATGACTTGTCCAAGAAATCGTCGACAATGAATGAAAATGTTTACACTGTTTTTACTTATGCCACATATGCCTCATCAGAAACACGAATAAATTATTTGTAGCATAATAATTACTTCGTATTAACGTTTGAAGACTGTATATA